CCATGGCTCCACCCTCCCCGACAAGAAGAGAATTCTGTCAGCTCAAGCAAAGGCAACAGTGAAGCCTGGCGCTGGCGGTGCATATGATCTGGGGTCGGCTCCGGCTTCCACCTGCTCACCGCGGAGGGAGACGGAGCCCTCCCACCCAGACCTAAAATATGAAAGCTTGAAGAAAGAAAACGTACAGACTGCTTGTCACACTGTAAACATGGCCATGCTGCCCAGAGCAAGCCACAGGTACCATGCGGTACCCATCAAAACCCTAGCAATGTAAGTACCAATTCAAAAGTTCATACGGAGGAATAAATGACCTCAAGTAGGAAAAATTTAAGCACAAAGCAAACATCACCAGTGTTATTACAATACCAGACTTCAAATTATACTACAGAACCATAGTAACAACAACAACAAAAACCCAACTGGGTACCTGCATGAAAACCCACATGAAGACCAATGGAAGATTATAGAAGACCCAGGAATAAAACCACACACCGCTCCTCAAAATAGATCTTCATACATCAATTGACCAGAAAGACACCTGCCTAGCCATCACTGTTCACATTAGCCAAATGACAGATTCAGGAGTGCTGAACAACAGATGAATGGGTGAAGAAAATATGACATGCACACCACACACACACACACACACACACACACACACACACACACACACAGAGCAATAATTACACAGCCATAAAGAAAAAATGAAGGGGCTGGGATTGTGGCTTAGTGGTAGAGTGCTTGCCTAGCAAGTGCCCAGGACCTGAGTTCAAGCCCCAGGACAAAGAAAGAAAGAAAGAAAGAGAGGAAGGTAGGAAGGAAGGAAGGCAGGCAGGCAGGCAGGCACCAGTGGCTCACACCGATAATCCTAGCTACTCAGGAGGCTGAGATCTGAGGATCGCAGTTCTAAGCCAGCCCAAGCAGGAAATTCTGTGAAAATATTTGTGGGTTTTTTTTTCTTTTTTTTTGGGTCCGGTGGTGGGACCTGAACTCTGGGCCTGGGCGCTGTCCCTCAGTTTTTCAGCTCAAGGCTAGCGCTCTACCACTTGAGCCACAGCGCCACTTCCGGCTTTTTTCTTTTTGCTTATGTGGTGCTGAGGAATGGAACCCAGGG